TCATAGAACCAATGTAAGTATTCTTATTAGTAATCGATTGCTGAAGGGGTTAAGAGATAGACAAAAAGTTTACTTGAGTTCATTGAAATTTTGTTAGATTGATCTCAGAGATTGCAAGCATGCTAAAATAAAATGTATGTATAAATGTAAAAACTAGGAGAAAAGGTAACAATGACCATTTCTAAATTTGTAGAAAGCATTCTAGGCTCTCACCATGGGTGTCAACATTTCTGATGGCATTATAACAATTGCTTGTTTTTGTTACCTGATCACATTACCTTCTTATGTTGGCCATAGATGTTATGAAATGGGTGGAAATGAATTCGATTGATGTGGGTCAGAATGGAAAGTAATTTTTGTATGATGCGTCTGTATGTGTATTCAGTGCTTGTGCAATCAAGTCCAATACTTCTGCAGAGCAGTTCCACTGTCCAAGAAGCTTGGGGCGGGTCTGAAATTTTTGTATCTGAAAAAAACCTGTTTATATGGTCAGATCTTATGAACGTCAAGCCATCAAGTACCAAGAACAAGCCTCCTCGGGTAGCTAAAGTGATATATCTTCAAGATGTCAATACACCACCCGATTTACAGCAATTGTATTCACTTAATTTGAAATGTGCACATGTGTAGACTGCTGTTGATATTTTTTTTACCCAATGATTATGCACTTTGATATTGTTCAGGATGGAAAATAGGGTTCTAGGGTGACAATGCTCACTCAGTGTACTGTATCCATGGAGTGTTGTCACCCTGGGACAGAAACTGGGTTAGCAATAGAGAATACTTCCACCGCTCTCAGTCTCCACACCATAGAATTGAGGTGTTATGTAGGAAATAGGAAGAGTGGAATGCTGGCCTGATCAGCAGGTATTTTTGCATTTATGGAACAGATATAACAAAACACTTTCAATGGTATACTTAACCAAAACAAAAGTTTAAGACTATGGTTTACATACACTTTAACAATCTAGAGCTATGACATGTGTGCTGACGATTGTTCGATATGAGTTAAAAGATATATCACCGCAGA